GAGGCCCTGGGGAGCGCAGCATTATCCTGGCAGCAGGCCCCAAGCATCCCATGGGATGTAGGGAGCAATGATTTGCCCATCAAGCAGTGGGGTGCTGTGGGCTCTGGCCACGGGGGGCGCTCCGTGGCCAAGGGTGGGCAGTGATGTCGGGGTGTTCCGTGCTGCATCTCTGGCAGGTGAGTGCTTAGGTTCCTGTCTGGCATTTGGTGTGAATGAGTCAAGAAAACATGCCCCAGTGCAAGCAGGGAGGCTGCAAGGTTGGCACTAGTGCAACTTGCTGTATTGCAAATGAGTGCACTGACAAACAAAAATTATAGCTTGGTTTTGTCATTGACAGTTGGCCCTGGGCGTTTTGGGGAGCAGTCATATCCTTGATCAGCTGCTCTCACTCAAGTGTCCATGTTTAGGGGAGCAGTGGCATATTCACATCAGGGATGCTGATCCCACACTGATTTCTTGTCCTTCTGTCAGTGCCTCCGCCAGACAAATTAAGCGGAGCCCTTGCAGCACAGATCACATCCTCAAATTCAAGGACTTGCTTTCAAACCCTGCGGACAGAGGAGGTGGGCAGGATGCTTGTGAAAAGCAAGGACAGAACTGTGGAGCCTAGCTGTTGTGCTAGCAATGCTTGTTGCCCTTCACGTTTTTGCAATTGACTGTCCTACAGGTTTCAGAAATTTTAGTGGGGTCAACAAGTTTAGGAGGAGCCTCAGTGGGTTTCCAAATTTCCTAAGCTGCTTGTAGCTATCCCTGTATGAGCAACATAGTCAAGAAGAAAGATTTCCTTTTGTGCCTTTTAAGAGAGCTTGAAGGAAGAAAACTTCCATCAAACAAAATAGCATGATATGAGCATCATTCCTTCTTTTTGCAGGGACTCACAAACGGGGGTGTCAGCAGTTATATGAAGGTGCAGTGTAGTGCCCCCTTCTAAAAGAAGTCCCTGATGGAGCATACCCTTTTATTATTATAACTTAATTTATCGTAATTATATGGATCACACTGATCTTGCACCTGGGTGCCCTTTGATTCCAGTATTGCTAGCTCAG